ATGGTAGACAACCTTGACGGGTGGGGAGGTTTATTTTAAGAAACTGAGACCCTTTCATGGTAGACAACCTTGAGGCGTGGGGAGGTTTATTTTAAGAAACTGAGAGTCGTTCATGGTAGACAACCTTGAGGCGTGGGGAGGTTTATTTTAAGAAACTGAGACCCGTTCATGGTAGACAACCTTGAAGCGTGGGGAGGTTTATTTTAAGAAACTGATACCCATTCATGGTAGACAACCTTGAGGCGTGGGGAGGTTTATTTTAAGAAACTGAGACCCGTTCATGGTAGACCACCTTGAGGCGTGGGGAGGTTTATTTTAAGAAACTAAGACCCATTCATGGTAGACAACCTTGAAGCGTGGGGAGGTTTATTTTAAGAAACTGAGACTCGTTCATGATAGACAACCTTGAGGCGTGGGGAGGTTTATTTTAAGAAACTGAGACCCGTTCATGGTAGAAAACCTTGAAGCGTGGGGAGGTTTATTTTAAGAAACTGAGATCCGTTCACGGTAGACAACCTTGAGGAGTGGGGAGGTTTATTTTAAGAAACTGAGACCCGTTCTAGGCACACAAACCTTGAAGCGTGGGGAGGTTTACTTTTACTCTTTTCAAGTTCGAAGAAGAAACTAAGACCCGTTCAATGGCATACAAACCTTGAAGCGTGGGGAGGTTTATTTTTTACTATTTTCAAATGAATGACTCAATTGAAGAAAAGCCAAATTATGTTCGATCAAGAAATTTAATTTTGGCTACTACCATTGTTTGGGCTACCACGCATTGATAATAGATTATCCTTCGATTTCAAGCTTCTCACATGTTATCTAAGTCACCATATTTCTTGTTGTTTTGTGCTTTATATTTATTTTGTTGGAGATTCACCAGCGGTGATTTGTTTGTCTCATCCCTGGTGGAGTCGGATCTTTCCTCTGTGGCATCTTGTCTCCACGAGACCCTTTGTCTTGCATCCCATATCATTGCATATCATATGCATTCGGTGACTTCTTAGGGCCAAAAATTTGTGCAGTGTTTGTATTTAAGTCCCTCGTATCACATCGATACGAAGATTTAAATCTCCATATCTCCGGATAGAAGAAACTTAAATAGGGGCATCTGTCACACCCTAATTTTTGACTTTAAGATCCCACCTTCTTGTGCTTATTTCTTGCTTGTTTTATTTTACCTTTTATATGTATGTTTATTATGGATAACCAGTTTGTGCAGGTGCGGTATTGTCAAGTACAAATCCTTACAGTCTAGTACTTCAAGGTGACCGTTGGATCATAGAGATCCTGGGATTATTCTACTGGTCGTCTCCTCAAAGGCTTCTTAGGAGTTTCATTGTTTGCCCCAGAGTTTCAAGTTGTTTTGGTCATTGGTATTGGGCATAGACATTTGAGGTTTTGCTTTGGTTCATGGGGAGTAGTATCGCAGGTTATGACTTTATCTTCAAGGTTCCTTTAAGGCATAGTTCGCATAGCAGGTTACATCATCATCTTTGATTTTGTCATCATTTATGAGAAAGAGTTTGGTTTCGTTGATGGTTTAACACGACAAGTTTGGATATTTCATGATTGAGGCTTGTTGTCAAGACAAAGTTAATTTGACTTGTTGACTTATAAATCTTAAGTTATGTTGAAATTCATCCAAGGGTGCACAACCCAAGAGTTTCAGATAAAAGGCTCTAGAGTAATTCAATTTACAAGCTCAAGTTCAATATTCGTATTATTCATTCAAGATGTTAGTACAAGAGAACCTTTTTCACTATATCTTAATCTAAGTACCAAAATCCAGGATTCAAGAGTTAATTCAATCTCATGTTTAAGTCAATCTCATGTTTAGAGTTCAAGTATGTGAGATAAATCTAATATGCTCAAGTCTTCATCTCGAGATCCATTCAAGCATCTTTTTCTATAAAAAACCAAGTTATTGGACCTTTTGGGGATTTATTTTCACAAGTTATATTGAACTCGTATGATTCAATTTCGTTTGGTTGAGCTTCAAAGGCCAATTTTCAGGATGTATTGGATAAAGTTTTCTTGAGTTGAATTCAACCCACCAGGTTTAAGCCTAAAAGGTTCAAATTCCTTAAGTTTATTTCCAATTTAAGACCACGTGGTAAATTGCATGACAAAACCCATACGAGATATAAGCTGCTAGAAAATAAGTTTAAGGCCGTTTGCCAAACCGAATACTTGAATTCACTTTCCAAGTTTTTTATATAACAAATCAAGTGCAACTAAGTTCATTAACTCTAGAAAGATTCAAGGTGTACAATAATACAATGATTCACTGTTCCCTTTACAAGATCAAACTAACTAAACTAAGGACTAATTTATTACATGGAACGCAAGCCACTATGGAAGCCCTTCTTGAATTATTTACGGATGGAGTAGAAGCATTTACCATCGCCATCACCCTCGAATCACGCACGTCGCCGGAAGACGCCGCCAGATTCCTAGCACTTCCGTCTGCGACCATCACCCTCAAAAAAACCCTGCAAAAAACCATTAAAACCGTAAGTTTTTTTGGGCTAACATTGTTAATCTATTAATTTTTTTGTTTTATGTAGGAGGAGATCGAAAATCGCGAATGAGGTGGGAGAGGTTTGTGAATGGTGAAGGAGAAAGGCAAAAAGAAGAATAGTTGGAAGAAGATATAAGAAAAGAAGTTGGAAGAAGAAACAGAAGGAGAAGTGGAAGAAAGTGACGAAATAGAGGAGAGAGGAGAAAGAAGGCTGAGCGGCGTGAGAAGAGGAGGGGAATAGATCTAGGGTTTTGTGCCAATTTTTGTTTTTGTATTGTGGATCACGTATGTGCATACCCACCATCCCTATCGTGCACCGCACATCATCACCTTTCATCTTCTCATCCGACTACATCATGCGCCCCTCACCTATACCCCACGATAAACCCTTCTACTGCGCCACACCCAATCCACACGCCCATTAACCACCATTAACAACACCCCCCCGCCCCCCTTAATCTACTAATTAATCCACTTAATCTTAACTTAACTTTTTTTTTAATTAACCACCTATTAAAACCTTTAAGCTGCTTTTAATTAATATAATCATTTATAATTTAATTAATTAACTATTATTTCACCTTTTTGTAATCAGTTTATTTTAAAATTTAAAACAATTAATTAACCCTTTTTATTAATTAACCTATTTATCTAATCAATTCTCTTTTTTTTTTATTTAACTTATTAATTTACTTTTTATTTTAATAACTCAATTTTATTTTACTCATTCTACAACTAATTTATTCCATCTTTTTATAATCCCATATTATTTAATTAAAATAATTTGTTCATATTCTAAATAATAAAAGTATATTTTTATATAATTTAAAATAATTTGTATCTATTTTATTTGTTAAATAAAAATTACATATATTTAATAAGAAACCTTTTTTTCACATAATAACTTGTATTTATCTAATAATCTCACTTAAAATTAATTCAACCTTTTTCTTAAAATCAATTCGCATAAAAACTCCATCAACGCGATCCCGTTTCCATCTGTCTAAGCACCGTTTTTTAATTGTTATATTCGCAACCCCGCTCCACCCGCTTGTCTGTTTTTAGCGCTTTTATCCGTTTGTATGGGTTTAATTATCGTTGTCTTTATTTTATCGTTATTTATTTTATCGCATCGCATAATGTCCAAAGGAAGAACCTACGCATGACTTAACGTTTGTGCGTATTGCATCTCATCTTGCACCATTTTCCCCACTCGATCCTTGATGCTTTTCAAGTTGATCAGTTAAGCTTAGATCCTACCCCATAAGGAAGACCTTTTTCTTTTATTTTTACAACACAGATAAATTATATGCAACTCAATCAACTATTCTCCTATTAGAGATTAAGATGTTAGTCATCTTGACAGTCGAGAAATAAATCTCATGTCCCATAACGCAAATCGAGTGATGTAGATCTTTTCCGCTTGAGAGAGATAGTGACATACTCGTCGATAATTCTGAGTGTTTGAGCCCTTCTCTCAAAACGATGCAAAGACCATCTCCTACAAGTTGTGGTGGTTAAGTCGAGTGTTCTCCCTTAAGATGACGACTCGTCTTTTCTCCTAGAATCAATCAATCAACAACCCTTTATCCCTTTGGAACTTTGACCAATAGTCAATGGTTCCTCAAACCCTTTAGGGAAACTACAAATACTCTGATTCCATTCCCGTCAGGATATGTAGGCACAAGATGCGACGTCTTGGCGAGTATACTTAGAAATAAACCACTAGGTCTTTCACCCTTAAGCAGATAACCTTAGCAATAAACACATTAAAACAAGTGGTTCCTGTAGAGTACTACAGTAACATATGATGCTAGCACTTTCCCTAAGTTTAACCAACCCTCAAACCTAAACTCTCTAACTTTTGCATTTGCATTGCATTGTAGGTAATTCGATCTTTTTCCCTTCCTTTGGACAAATAAAAGACTGATAGTGAATCATGAATTAAGATTCAAATTAATTAATAATTTGATATCTGATTTTCACCGCGACATATGACAGTTTTTTTTAATTCTAATCCTTTTACTCTTGTTTCAGTAAATTCAACATGTGATTGGCTAACATATATAAAAATAGAAGTGGCATACATCATTTACATTGTTGAAAATATGATAAATATGCTTCTTTTTTATAAAATCAATTAGTGTAGGAAGATGGAGAGAAGACACCCCATTTTCAAACTATCTAAAATAACACATCAAATTAAAATATCATTAAAAGTTACAAAAGAGAACAAACATGCATTTTCAAGCTTCATGCAGAAAAGAATATTAACAATAGCTATAGCTACTTAAATTACCTTCAATTCAACAAATGATAAATGACGTGTTTTCTTATAATATATGCTTCAAATACTATAAACATAGAGACGACAAGAAACGGTGAATAATAATTTGAAGTTATTAGACTTGGCTTCAAACAACTGCCTCTCCACACTCAGCTTTTGCATATCCTTCATCTACGCTTCACTCGAGTCTCATCATTCTTCTTTCTCAACCTCATCACTGGAAATGAACAACATATTATTACCCTATCAAAACACTATTTATCTATTTGAAACTACAAAATCACAAGGAAAGTACAGATAACAAACATGTTCTAAAATAACAGAATTGAAAAGTGTCTCAAATTTAAGTTAAACAAACAGTAATGTTCTTACCTAAGGTACGGTAGTAGATCATCGTTCCTCATCTCTCCTTCCTGAGGAACCCTTTCTTCTTCTTCTTTTTCTTCTTCTCCTCCAATCGAAACATGTTTAATGTGAGAAATCATGGGCCAATACTCACCATAATGTGGCTGACATTTCTGACATAATTTAGGACAACCATCTATGGTCAAAGCTTCAAGGAAAGTGAGGTGTTGCATGCCACTTGGAAGAGAATCCAAAAGAGGACAGTCGGTAATATAGAGAACTTTAAGACAAGTCATTCTTGTCAAACAATCAGGAAGTTTCCAAAGCATAGGAATATTTATAATTATCAAGGTCTGTAAAGTCTCTGCAGCTCTTTCAATCCATTCTGGCAATGTATGTAGCTCTGGAAAATTCTCAAGACAAAGACTTTTCATCCTCCATCTTTTCGTTTTGCTTTGAGGATTCTCTGGCAGTCTGAGCTGTAGCCTCTTACAATCTGTGACTTGCAAAACCTCTAGTTTAGAGAAACTACAGAGAGGTAAGGACACAAGGCTTCCACAACGATAAAAAGTCAATACTTCAAGGGAAGCGAGTTGTACCTCTCCGAGCAAAGCCTCCAAATTGTCACAATCTTCAAAGCATAAAGTTTGAAGATTGCTCATGCTTGCAAATTCATCTAGTGACAGGACAGATTGCTTTGTGGTTATATACAGTTTCCGAAGGCTGATTAAATTACCTAATCCTTTAGGCAATGTTTCAAGATTCACGCAACCTCTAAGTATCAAAGCTTGCAAAAATGGCAGTTTGCAAATAGAAAGGGGAAGTCTTTTAATTTCGTGGTTATCAGAAAGATTGAGAACACGCAAGTGCTTCAATTTATCAATTGAATTGGGTAGAGTCTCAAACGAAGAATCACTCAAATCTAAAATCCGCAAATATTTGTATCTTAATATCCATGCATCCAACAAAGATTCACTGTCAAGGCCCACTCCTTGGATGGGAAATAGTATAGTTCTCACACTTTTGGATTTGGGGAATAAAGCACTGTCAAGTGAACCATTATCAATCATTGAGAAATGCCTTACTTGCTGAGATATATCCCGAGTATGGGAGTCAACTACTACACACTCGTCTTTCGCAACATACAATGCAAGATCATGCACCAAATCGTGTACTTTGAAAGAGTAGAAGTGGCCAAAGTCCTTAAAATCTTGAAGAAATGACATTGAATGTAGTTCATCAATATAATCTCTTGCAATACTCTCAAGACTTTGATTTCCATCTTGTGATTGTAGTAATCCTAGTGCCATCCAGAGATTAGTGATTTTAACACCAGAGAAGAGAAAACCTTTTGGATAAAGTGAAAAGTATGTGAAACAATGCCTCAAATGAGATGGCAATTGATCATAGCTTAACTTAAGTGCTGGTAAAATGTCATCTTCATTTTGTTTTAAATTCCATATTTCAGAGTCTCTTGCAAATTTCCACTTATTTAAATCAAATTTCGAGTACAAAGAACATCCTAATGTTCTCACTGCTAGTGGGACCCCTCGACATTTTATCACAATTTGTTTTCCGAACTCCATTAGATTTGGATATTTATCTTCTTCACCTTCCTTAAATGCCCATTTGACAAACAAAGATAAACAACTCTCATGAGAAAGAGCTTGTAAAACATAGGAGTGGAAAGTACCCATCATTGAAGCAATTGAGTTACTGCGTGTTGTCACTATGATTTTGCTTCCTATTGCCCCACCTTTTAACAAGTCTTTTAATATAATCCATTTTGCACGATCGTCATTCCATATATCGTCTAGTACAAGCAAAAACTTTTGCTTAGAAAGCTTATTTCGAAGACGACACTGTAACTGCTCAATATCTAAGTTGTTAATGTTCTCTTGGTAAGCAAGAGGAGCCGATGGAATGGATTCTGAAGCAGAGTTGATGATTTGAATAATTATTTTCCTAACGTCGAAATCATTAGAGACACACACCCACATCTTCAATTGAAAAAGATCATCCATTCTCTTATCATTGAATACCAACTTAGCAAGAGTGGTCTTCCCCAATCCTCCAATTCCCACAATGGGAATGACACACAAACTCTTATCACCATCACCATCACCCTGAGGATGAGGTTGCATTAAAAGCTTAATAATTTCTTCCCTATCATTCTCCCTTCCTATAACATCCAAAGCATCTACATGAGAGAAAGTCATTTCTCTCCTTTGCAGAATAAATCCAGGATCAACACTTGTTGCTGCAAGACCAAATCTAGTCCCATCAGTTGCTACCTTATCCAATCTATCCTTAATCTCTTTGATTTGATGTGCCATCTTTGAACGGAAAACAAGGGGATTAGAGGAAGATAAGAAATGGCTTACCTTCAGCCGAGTGCTGCTAGAAGCTTCTAGAACTTGCTTTTTCTTGTGTTCCAGCTCAAATCCATCGAATACATTTTCAGCATCAGAACAAATGTTTTGAATCTGTCTCGTCCATTCACGCAAGGCATGTTGTTGCTTCTTCTTTTCTTCAGCATCCAGTAGAAGTCCTTTGACAATTGATAGAGTGTCTTTGATTCCTTGAAGATCTTCGTAAACACCATAGGCTCGAGAAGCTTCTTCACAAACATATGAAGCAAGCTTTCCAAGCAATGAATCAGCAATATCAAACACAAATGATTCAGCCATGAATGATCACAACAAAGTAAATGAGGAAAATGCAAAAGTGGTTCTAATTGTGGCTTCAGTTCAGATTCATACTTTGTAAAAGTGGTTTTAAATAATGCATGAGAAAGTAAATACAATAATACATTATTTTATAATGACGTAAATGCCCTTGATGTTGTAGAAAGTAATCTCAGCCCTCCGAGCACTCTCAGCCCTCCAAGCAATCTATCCACTTTCTACAACATGAGATTATTATAAAATGAACGGTTATATCAATCATTAGATGGATATCACGCTTGAGATTAATATAAAATGACTATTAAAATTATCATTATTAATATGGCAAGGTGATTGATCACACAAACACGTATTTTTTTTCTTTTGAAAGTGGATGTCCTCTGTCGCTTTCAAGCTGGGAGGATTATAATAAACGGTAATTTTTTTCTCAAAAGAATTTAACTTGCGTGTTTTAAATTGGGCGTTTTAAGTTAGAATTGAATTCAAGATCTCTGTGTAAACTTGAAGTGAACTTTAATATTGCAACATTATAACTCTTCTAATGAGTAATTTAAGGAGACGAATTTCATCGAGTTAAAAACTTTGAAGTCTTAAACTTTGATTGGTTCATGTTAAAATATATTGCATAAGAGCTATCTTCATGTTTATCATGCTTATTCACACTTGTCACTTTAGAAAACGCTTATTTAAAATTCTGTTAAGAGTAAGTTTGAGTTTCTATTTTTAGAAGTTAGTTGGTTAGTTTCTTATCTAGATTGATATATAAATTTGTTGTAATCTCATTTGTTCTCTTGATCTGAATCAATGGAATAACATATTCTTCTTCAATTGTTCTTCAATTGTTGTTGTTGTTGTTCTTCTTGTCCACGAGTATTACAATATTTTAACATGGTATCATTCGTCATTTTGATTCAACCTTACACTTCCGCTCCATTCAACCTCTAATTTTCTGCTCCATCTTCTTCATCAATAGCGTCACCACGTAATGCTCCAATTCTTGATCCACAACTTGATCAAACTAGTCCATATTTCGAACATCCAAGTGATGGACCTAATTCAATCAAGGTTACACATCTTTTTAATGGTTCCAATTATCATTCTTGAGCACGATCAATGCGGCCTACACTTGGTTCCAAGATGAAACTGGAATTCATTGATGGTTTCATCACAATTCCAGACGATCCTTTTAATACAACCATGTGTGTTTGGAACCGATGCAACATGTTAATCCTTTCATGGATCATATATTCAGTTTTTGAATCTATTGCTCAGTCAATAATTTACATTTAAAACTCCATTGATGTATGGAAAGATCTCAAGGAAAGATTTTCACAAGGTGATCTTATTCACGTTTTTGAACTTCATCAAGAAATCAATGCTTTAAAGCAAGATTTCAAAAGGAAAGATTTCACAAGGTGATCTTATTCACGTTTTTGAACTTCAGCAAGAAACCAATGCTTTGAAGCAAGATTCCAAATTTGTTACAGATTTTTTTCAAAACTCAAATTTTTTTTGTGGAAGAATTAGATATCTATATACCAATTCTCAACTGTGTTTGTCGAATTAGATGTTCATGTGCAACTATGAGGAATGCATAAGATAATCACAATTTGATATATGTTATATGTTTTCTCACAAGTCTGAATGAAGACTTTGATATAGTGAAATCACAAATTCTCTTAATGGATCATTTATCAACCATGAACAAGATCTTTTCTATGGTGTTACAACATGAAAGGCAATGTAACTTTGCTCCCTCTGATGATTCTCAAACTTTGATCAATGTTGTAAGCTTCAAAAGGTCAGGTCTAAAATTGGACAATTCCAACTTTCAATCCAATACATTTAAGTCCAAAATGTGTACTCATTGTGGAAAAATCGGTCACACTATCAAGGTTTGTTATAGGAAACATGGTTTTCCACCTCATTTTGATAATAAAGTATCCATGGAAAACAATGCTTTTTCAAGTGAAAATGAAGATGACAACAGTGTCATATAGACAACATGCTAATCTATACTAAATAAGTTAAGCTTAACAAAAACTAATACTAATACTATTAAATATCAATTACTTTTCTTAACACATCCCTTATTTCTTTTGGATTAATAGTTTTTGTCTTTTTTCATTATTAAGCTATGTGACAAATTATGCCACACAATGCCTTTGAATCTCAACATGTTTATAGTCCAAGATATGATAAGTATATCTTGTGTCATTAAAGAAAAAATAGTACTGGTAAGATATTTCAACCACACCAACTGACATTTCAACACAATCAACCCCATATGATTAAACAACGTCTCTGAAATTCACTGACGACAAAATCTTGGCCCTTGAATAAATTACTGTGTCTCGAGAATCCTGACGTCAAAATTGCCGTAAAATTCAATTCGTCCTCAAATAAATTCCAAAACTCGAAAATGGAAATCCTAATCACTTGAGGAACTGTTGATGATGACACAAGCTCATGAACTTTTGCCAGACTGCCATTAATGACCATTTTACCCTTCATAAGTTAAAGAGCGCTCAACATGATTTTCCCTGCAGAATCGACAGACTACACGAACTTGTTAGTGATTAGTTAAATGCAATGCAAAAGTGAAATGGAATGCGAAATAAAACGACCAATCTAAGAGAAAATTTTGGGGTATTACAGGGGTGAATAAGATTTATTGGACTTTCTAAAAAATTTCTATTTTATGAAAAATGTCGAGTGTTCTTATTTTTCCTGAAATGAAAAGAATGATAAAATGCAGAAAGTAAGTGCTGGAAAAATAAAAGACATCGTACGTCTAATCCCCTCACACCCTGTGAGAGATTGCACTGTATTAGAATTTATATAATCCAACTACTAGAAATACAAGAATTACCTGTGGATTTTCTTGTGGAAATTTATCCGCAGATGTACCTGCGATTTTACCAGCGAATTTACATTATAAAGAATTATTTTCTGCAAAAATTGAGGTAGCAGCAAAGTTCACAGAAATTCCTTAGACTTTACTGCGATTTTGGATTTATAACAATATATCATGCGACATTTTCCTGCGACATTTTCCTACGACTTTACCTACTAAATTAATTACCTACGAAGGTTTTAGTTGGGAACAGAAAATAGCAGGAAGAATCGCAGGTAACACGTTTTCTGCGAAAATGTTGTCAAATTCCGCAGATAAATCCGCAGAAGACCGAATTTTTCTAATAGTGTCCTCACACCAAGGTCACTCATACACTAATCTAACACAAAAGAAAACCCACCATTTTCTTTTACACTTTGAATAAAAATCACACCACTTTTAATCTCAAACAAAGATCACTTAACACTTAGTGATCTAGTAAAAACATAATGTTGTAAAGATGAAGATTTGAATATGTACAAAACAAATTTACAATAGATCTTGGTTTAGAACAATCCAATACATTTTAGAAAAGAAAAATCCACACCATCTCTTTACCTAATAAAAATATACAAAACATTACAATAGATTAAGTATCATATACCTAATAAAAAAAGATTTAATAAATATATTTCAAAATAAAAGTTTATTCTCAAAGTTTGATCTTAAATCTGAATATTATCAAATACATTTAAAAGAAAGAAATAGATATAAAACTGCTTTTGTGGTGCTTCAAAATGAATGGAATTTCATGCCACTATGGTTAAAAAATTCACCTTTTGAATTTCAAGATAGTATAAACAATATATTCAATGATTACTCTCCTTGGCATTTTAACCATACTTGATTTAACAAAGATATCTCTCTTAATTTTTCTAGTTGGTTAGTCCAATAGCTTTTAAGTTATTGGACCACCTTTAGAATTTTTCCCAATTTATGTCGGAAAGACTCTTTTAGATTTTTCTGAAAAAACTATTTGTCCTCAATATAAATCTCTATTTTTTACTGAATTATTTTGCAAAGGGTTTTCTTCCTTCTAATTAACCAGAAAATTTTCTATCAAATAGTGGTCGAAGTTCAACCCAGAATTACTTTCTCAATCAAGATTAAATGGTTGGTTTTAAGCATATCTTGTTGGTTGCCCACAATTATTGCTCATACCTTTTTTTTAATTATTAGTTTCTATCCTTTTTCATTATTAAGCTATGTGAGTCATACCGTTAAGTATTATTGTTTTAGAGTTTGTCGTCTTTTAGTTATTGAAAATCATGTGATCAAAATAGTACTAGTAAGATATTTCAACCATGAATGGGCCCATACAGTTCAAAGCTTCCCCAACAATTTTCATGTGCATGCCACATATAGCATATGACAGGTAAAAATCATTGCAGTCATGGTATATTAAAATTGAGAAGTGAATTGTAGTGCTGCCACATATAGTAGTAGTAGTAGCCATAGCAGTAGCGGTAACACTACCACCTTTACCTATAGCAGTAGTAGCCATAGCAGTAGCGGTAACACTAACACTAGCAGCATCTACCCATAAGGAAACTGAGTTTGTCAACTCAGATTTGGTGGCTATCAGTCTTAGTTTCTCATAGCTAGTTTGATTTCCTTGTGATAGGTAGTAAGTTTCACTTTGTTTTGTCGGCTGAGGTCACTACGCCAGAAATGAGTTTTAGCAGCGCACCCTTTAGCAGCGCTTCTTAAATAAGCGCTGCTAAAGGGTGGGTAAAAAAAAGAAAAAAAATTTCCCACCTAAGACAGCGCTTTTGAAAAAGCGCTGCTAAAGGGGGGCCCTAAGAAAGCGCTTTTTAAAAAGCGCTGCTAAAGGGGTGGCCTAAGAAAGCGCTTTTAAAAAGCGCTGCTAAAGGGGGACCTAAGAAAACGCTTTTAAAAAGCGCTGCTAAAGGTGTCCCCTTTAGCAGCACTTATTCTATAAAGCGCTGCTATATGGCATTGCTAAGGCACCCTAAGAAAGCGCTTTTAAAAGCGCTGCTAAAGGGGGACCTAAGAAAGCGCTTTTAAAAAGCGCTGCTAAAGGGGGCCCTTTAGCAGCGCTTTTTCTATAAAGCGCTGCTATATGGCATTGCTAAGGCACCCTAAG